CTGCTGAAGTCACTCAGATCTGCAGTGTTGATCTGCATCGAGAGGAATTTGAATCAAAGGATTAGTCACTTGGCTGTGGGCTTGGACTGTAGTCAAGTAAGTTAAACTGTGCAGCAGGAGCTGTTTTTTGTGTTCCTGGGAGCCTATGGTGTGGAAACCATTTTTCCTCTCTTCCCAAGTTACTAGTTGCCTCAACACGCCTGCGTTTAGCTGCTCAGATGTGTGAGGGTTCGTCTGAAAGCAACGCTGCGTGAGTGTCTTGGAGACCTCCAAGATGCTCGAGCTTGCAGGTTGTATGTTGCTGGGAGAGCAAAAATGAGAGTACGCCTGGGATAGCAGCAGCAAAGAGCTGTTCGAAAGCCTTTGCTGTGGACATGTGAACACAGGCTGGCTCAGCAGAGACACCTGTGTTTTCCACACGTGCTAAAAAGAGGCATCCTTTTTGAAAAGATGTTTGGGACATAGAGGTGTAATTGCTTCCGCATTGAGATACCACAATAGGAAGCTGCCTGGTTGTCCCCTATGAAAACACCTGGGGAAGCGGTTCGCTGTGGCTCTTTGGATCTGCACCTTTCCCGGTTGAATGTCCCTTCCTCGTGGCTGTTCCGCATCCTTTGGTTTCCACCTCTGTTGTAACATCCTTTGCATAGCTTTTTGGAGTGTGTTAAATTAAAATTTTGAACCCCTGAGCCAAGGGTTAGCGAGAGCTGGCAGCTGACAGTTTGCCAGCAAATCTGCAGACGCCGAGACTTGCAGTTCCGACCTCTGTTCAAGACAAAATGCTGCTCTGTCTTGGTCACTCCTCAAGCGTTGCTTAAGTAATCCTGGCTTTATTTGAGCCTGGCTGGGGCATAAGGCCAGCGGGAGTTGGGGAAAGGTAGATCTTAGGGCAGCAAAGCCACAGGTAAAGATGACATTAGCAACCAAGACATAGTAATATGCTACGTTCACAGCAGCCTTCTAATAACGTCTGAGGATTTGGTGTATTTAGAGAAATTAATCTTTTTTAGCTTGGTAATAATTCTAACAATAGGCATGAGTGCATTAGATGATTCGCATAAACTTCTTTAATACACGTTGCTTTAAGCTTACAGTAAATAGACACAATCCTGATTGTTTTTAATTCTCAGTGTAATACAGTTTTGTAACAGCTCAAAGTGCTTTTACCTTTTCAGTTTTATTATGAAGACTTGTAAGAAGATTTTCATTCCTCCCATGCCTCCTTCCTCTGCTTCATTACACTGGTTTTATTTCTATAGGCCTGTTGTTGGCCTTAAAATGGTTGGTTATATTTCTTCTCCATGGCGTGGCTCATTGCAGATGCTTACAGTTCTCTCCTTCTTTGAGAATCACTGTTTTCCCAGCAAGGAGTATGAAGTGTACTTTACAGGGCGAGGGAACAACATGTATAGAACTTAAATATTGACCAAAGACAGGAACCAAATGGTAAACTTTTTGTGTGAATAGCACCTTGTTTCTCTCGCACGCAGGTACACAGCTTGCGATTCCTGCCTGTGCGTTGAAAATGCAAGCGCATGCAATGCACTTGGGTGGGTGGGGGGGGCCGGTATGTCGAGCTCTTCCCACATCACGGGGCTGATGCAGTCTTGAGTTGACGCGCGTGTGTTTTCCATTGGCATCGTGCTCTGGCATGATGCAAACTCCAGTCTTCGTGCGGGGACCGGGGAAAGAAGCTGGTGAGCTGGTATTGGCGTGCACAGGGGTGAGCGCGGAGCTCGGCTGTCAGTGTTACCGACAGGCACCAAAGTCTAAGTACAGATTTTTATCGCCTTTCTGATCTTTTAAATAATGATTTCAAGGCAGAATGTCTGGCCCTGAAGTGGGAGAGGGAGGTGGAAGTGCAGAGAAGCGTCTATAAATCTTGCTGCTCAGTGGCCTGAGGCGGGAGCTCTGTTCTTTGTCTCTTGGGTGGGAAGGGGCTGGGAGGTACCATCCTGGCACTGCTGGAAGAGCAGCCCTCTGTGGACCTCAAGCAAAAGATGGGAATTCGTTCGAGCACGGGTTTCCTGAGCAGAAAAGAGGCTCCTTGGGTTACAGTTGGGAATTGCATGAGGTGGGGCTTAAAAGGGGGTTTTGGGAAGAATGTACCAGATGGGGGTGGGGGAGGTGAGGGGAAGCGTATTAACAACTGCTGTTCCTGTGCTGCAAAAGCCAAACCCCAAAACAGCAGCAAAAACATGCAACAGCTAAAGCTCATGCGAGGCTTCCTGCAAGCCCTGAACTGGGTGGACCAGTGAGTAATTTCATATGTTGGTTGTGGTTAAAAATATCCCAATATAGGCCTTGCCCCAGATTGTAGAGCATCATATTTAAACTTCCCCAATTATAGAACAGGCTGTGCAGAGGTTGCCCATGTTTGCCTAAAATACGGTGTTTATTTACCATGAGACTATGTATTTACTGTGCCACTCTGAGCACAAAATAGCGACATACTGTAATTCTCTAACTGCGTATAACAGAGCATTGTAAAATGGGCAGCCCTGGATGTGCCTGAGAGCTAGCGCGGAGATCGCAGGTGACTTGGGAGAGACTTGGCAAGCTGCCTCTCCGTGCCGCTCTCCCATCGCCGACGCTGGAGGTGTGCTCGCTCGGGTGCGTGAGGGAGATGCGTCTCTAAAATCAGCTGGCTTAAGGAACACATGCTTTGGAGTAAGAGCAGTGTGCTTCATTAGCAGAGTGTTAACTGTGGGATTTGCATGCTGTGTAATTTCCATTTCATTTCCCAGTGTAACTATATGAAAACTATTAGGAGCAGCAGGACAAATTACCAATTTCCCCCTTCAGTTTTTAATTTTTAACTCTTTGCCAAAAAAAAAAAAAAAGTCACCCTTTTTAGGGGGGACCTCCTTAACTGATGTGGACTCCTGTCATGCTAGAGGGATATAGCTTTTTCATCTTTCCCCTGAAGTTTTCCTCTGAAGTTGGGACAAAAGCTGCTGGGACTCTATGTAAATAATGCACTTCTTGGGAGAGTTACGTAGAAAGCAGGGGCTCTATTTTGTACAGACTGGATAAATACTGTTTTTTTCTTTTTCCCCAGTATGTATGCAAATGTGGCTATTAATGCAACTTAAAAAATCATGCTGGTTTGTAGTTTCATTAGTCAGCCTTTTCCACCACCTGTGCGAGAAGAGTTTATCCAGAAGTTAAAAGCACTGTTACATGCATTTAAAGACACACATATTGATCTTCAGTTGACTTCTAAAACTTGACCCGTCTGACAAACTTTGTGCTTGAGCTGTTGCAGTTGATTTGGGGTTGGTGTTGGTGTTTTTCGTTTGTTTGGTTTTGGGTTTTTTTTTTTTTTTTGCTTTATATGGAATCCCGTCCAGTTGGACGGGTTTCTGTTTTGGTCTTCAGGCATTTGAGATCATGAAAATACCCAGGCTGTTGGGGAGAGGAGAAAAAGAATACCCCAGATCTGCCTCTTTCCACTCTCCGTGTCTTTCTGCTAGAAAACGTTACCTCTCAGGAGACGGCTGCTGTTGGCACGGCCGCCTGCGTCTCTCTGCCGGGCAAAGCCCCTCGTGAGCACTCTCGTGTTACGGTGTGGTGTGTTGCCAGACGCTCTTGTCGCAGGTTTCATTGTGTCTCTTCTGAGCCGGTGAGCTACAAAGGGATTGTACGGCATGACAGGGAATTTCAACCACCGCGTTATCTCAGAATTGGCCGATTGATGGTTGCAGTTCAGCATTTCAACATTGTGAAAGCCAATACAATTTGAGTTAGCGGTGATGACTGCCAGTTTAAATACCGCAGTGAATTTCTGTCAAATAGCTAATACATAGAAAGGGGAATTGCAGAAAACTTGATCACCAGAACCACTTCAGTCGATTTTGGCCTCGAGCTACAGAAAATGAACTTAAATCTAGTTGACTCTTGCTACATACTTTTTGTGGTATTACTCTGCCTGCACAGCCAACTTAGAGCGTAACT